AGGGATGTGTAGATTAGGTGGGTTATAGGGGGATGGGTCTGGGTGGGGATGCTCTGAGGGTCAGTGTGGACTTGTTGGGCCGAAGGGCCTGTTTCCACACTAGGGATTCTATGATAATATCAAGTAGAATTTTGTGATCAAGTCACAACACCTAGATCTGGCAACAACTGTGCTCACTGTTGTATGAACAGTCATTACTGTTGACTATCATGTTGTCCAAGACTGTCCACACTATTCCTCACCCCTGGGGAGGATTGCTGCCACTACCCACTTTACGTAGGGATCTACAGGACCCACTTATTTTGTCGAGGAAAACCACTTGCTCATATAGTGCCATACAGAACGGAAACAGACTCTGCAGTCCAACCAATCCATGCCAATCATAATCCCATATTAAATCCTGCCTGTGCTTGGACCATATCCCTCCAAACACTTCCTATTCATGTACTTATCCAAATGTCTTTTAAATGTCATAACTGTAGGCGCATCCATTATTTCCTGTGGAAGTTCATTCCACACGCAGACTACTGTATGTGTAAAAAAATTGCGCCTCATGTCTTTTTTAAAACTTTCCACTTCCACCTTAAAAATATGCCCCCAATCTTGAAGTCCCCCACTCCAGGGAAAAGACACCTGCCATTCACCTTACCTGTACCCTTCATTATTTTATAAATCTCGATAAGGTCACCCCTCAGCCTCCTACGCTCCAGTGAAAACAGACCCAGCCTATGCAGCTGCTCCTTATAACTCAAACCCTCCATTCCCAGCACTATCCTGGTAAATCTTTTCTGAACCCTCTCCATCTTAATAATATCCTTCCTATAAGAGGGTGACCAGAACTGGACACAGTACTCCAGAAGAGGCCTCACCAATGTCCTGTACAACCTCAATATAACGTCCCAACTCCTACACTCAAAGGTCTGATCAACGAAGGCAAGCGACCTCACCTGGATACTTACAGGCAACCTGTATGACACACCTCTGGGACTAGAACTTGAAGTGGTAAGGACACTAACACTGAGCGAGCCAATCCCTACTTGCTAATCTAATGAGGGGAGACTCTCGTCTTAAATAAGATGTCGTTTATTGAATATTGGTAAATAAGTACAAATTGCACTGATGTGGTACACATTGTTATGATGGCTCCAGATGTCAGATCTCATTGCTTCGAGCTCCAAAGCTATTCTCCTACAAAATCTTAACGGAACCATCATAGTCAGTGATACTCAAGGAGCCATAGCTGACACCTGTGGGGAGAGACTCTAATGTATAAGGGCTGTAGGAATATTCTTAAGAGGGAAATCAGGAGGGCAAAAAGGGCAAATGGGGTTAAGGAGAATTGAAAGGGTTTCTACATATACATTAAGGACAAAAGGGTAACTAGGGAGAGGATAGGGCCCCTTAAAGATCGGCAAAGCCATCTATGTGTGGAACCAGTGGGGATGGGGGAGATACTAACTGAGTATTTTGCATCAGTGTTTACTGTGGAGAAGGATAAGGAAGAGAGAGAATGTGGGGAAATAAATGGCGACATCTTGAAATATGTACACATTACAGAGGAGGAGCGGCTCAACGCCTTAAAATGCATAAAGGTGGATCAATCCCCGAAAACTGGTCAGCTGTACCCTAGAACTCTGTGGGAAGCAAAGGAAACAATTGCTGGGCCCCTTGCTGAGATATTTGTATCATTGATAGCCGTGGGTGAGGTGCCGTAAGACTGGAGGTTGGCTAATGTAGTGCCACTATTTAAGAAGGTCAGAAATCACACGACACAAGGTTATAGTCCAACAGGTTTATTTGAAAACACAAGCTTGGCTACTATTTAAGAAAGGTGGTAAGGAAAAGCCAGGGAACTATAGACCGGTAAGCCTGACATCGGTGGTGGGTAAATTGTTGGAAGGAATCCGGAAGGACAGGATTTACATGTATTTGGAAAGGCAAGGACTGATTAGGGATAGTCAACATGGCTTTGTGTGTGGGAAATCGTGTCTCACTCACTTGATCGAGTTTTTTGAAGAAGTAATGAGGGCAGAGTGGTGGATGTGATCTATATGAACTTCAGTGAGGCATTTGACAAGGTTCCTCATTGTAGACTGGTTATCAGGGTTAGATCACGTGGAATACAGAGAGAACTAGCCATTTGGATACAGAACTGGCTCAAAGGTAGAAGACAGAGGGTGGTGGTAGAGAGTTGGTTTTCAGACTGGAGGCCTGTGACCAGCGGTGTGCCACAAGGATCGGTCTGTGTTCACTGCTTTTCATCATTTATATAAATGATTTAGATGTGAACATAGCAGGTATGGTTAGTAAGTTTGCAAATGACACCAAAATTGGAGGTGTATGGACAGTGAAGAAGGTTACTTCAGAGTATAACAGGGTCTTGATCAGATGGGCCAATGGGCTGAGGAGTGGCAGATGCAGTCTAATTTAGAAACATGTGAGATGCTGCATTTTGGAAAGACAAATCAGGGCAGGACTTATGCACTTAATGGTAAGGCCCTGGAAATATCACTGAACAAGAAGACCTTGGAGTGCAAATTCATGGTTCCTTGAAAGTAGAGTTGTATGAAGACAGGACATGAAGAAGGCATTTGGTGTGCTTGCCTTTATTGGTCAGTGCTTTGAGTATAGGAGTTCGGAGGTCACTCTGCAGCTGTACAGGACATTGGTTAGACCACTTTTGGAAAACTGCGTTCAATTCTGCTCTCTCTGCTATAGGATGGATGTTGTGAAACTTGAAAGTGTTTAGAAAAGATTTACAAGGATTTACAAGCACAAGAGTTGGGGGTTTTGTGCTATAGGGAGAGGCTGAATGGGCTGGGGCTATTTTTCCTCTAGTGTCAGAGGGGGAGGGGTGACCTTATTGGGATTTATAAAATCACAAGGGGCATGGGTAGGGTGAATAGCCAATGTCTTTCCCCGGGGTTGGGAATTTGAAACTGCAGGACATAGGTTTAAGGTGAGAGGGAAAAGATTTAAAAAAGACCTCTGTAAGAACAACACAATGTTGTTACGAGGGGGGGGGCAAGTGACACAGTGCCCACGGCCCTGAGTAAGTAACATAGGCTTGTAAACTGGCTAAAAAGGTTAAGCACCCCTCACTGTGCCGACCCTGCCCAACCCCACCCCATTACACCGGCAGTGAAAACTGGAGAGATTCCTGGTCAGCTGTGTATATAAGACAGCTCCAGACACATGTAAAAGGATACATGTTGCCACGGCAATACAGCATCCCTGAGCGAATTGCAACTCAACAGCCCATGACAGCGTCTAAGGGAGCTTGTGGAGCAATGGTAGTGTCCCCACCTCTGATCTAGGTGGACTGAATTGAAGTCCCACTTGCTGCAGTGGTCATAGAGTTGTACTGCACAGAGACTGGTCCAACTCGTCCGAGCTGACCATATATCCTAATTTAATCTAGTCCTATTTGCCAGCATTTGACCCATATCCCTCTAAATCCTTCCTATTCATGTACCCATCCAGATGCCTTTTAAATGTTGTAATTGTACCAGCCTCCACCACTTCCTCTGGCAGCTCATTCCATATACACACCACCATCTGTATGCAATTATTGTCTCTCAGGCCCTTTTAAATCCTGCCCTCTCACCTTAAACCCATGTCCTCTAGTTTTGGACTTGCCTACCCTGTGGTAAAGACATTGGCTATTCACCCTATCCATGCCCCTCATAAGTTTATAAACCTCAATAAGGTCAGCCCTCCACGGAAAATAGCCCCAGCCTATTCAGTCTCTCTCTACAGCTCAATTACTCCAAACCTGGCAACATGCTCGTAAATCTTTTCTGAACCACTTCAACATTTAACAACATTCTCCCTATAGCAGGGAGACCAGAATTGAATGCAATATTCCAAAAGTGGCCCAACCAATATCCCTGTGCAGTGTCAACGTGACCTCCCAACTCCTATATTCAATGCACTGACCAATAAAGGCAAGCATACCAAAGGCCGCTTTTGCTATAAAAACCGAAAGAACTGCGGATGCTGTAAATCAGAAACAAAAACAGAAATTGCTGGAAAAGCTCAGTGGGTCTGGCAGTATCTGTGGAGAGAAATCAGAGTTAACGTTTCGGGTCTAGTGACCCTTCCTCAGAATTGCCTTCAATATCCTGCGGGTGCATAATAACATCTCTGAACGAGTTGATTCGAAAAATATTTTTCTTTTACTTTTTTGGAACAAAAAACCCAGAGATGTAACCTGCCCCTTTAAGACTGACGTCAGTACGGTGAAAGGACTACAGGACCCAGTCTGCTTCATCAAAGGAAGTGAAACCCACCGTGAACAAGGAAGGAATTGTTTCATAATGCCTGGGGTTTGTGCATCTTAAAACTTCCGCATTTGCAAACTCATGTATTGAATGTAATTATGTCAGTTTTCTTTCCGTGCTCAGTCTGTGCATTGTTCATTCCGGTTCTGTTTAGGAGTTCCGTAACGCAAACTCTACATCCAAGAGCAAAATGCTGGGCTTTTCCCAAATGGAGAGGAAAAGCTCCGAAATGCCTCTGCTTCAGGGGTCGATTCCGACCCAACTCAGCCTTGTGGTATAAGCATTGCATTTGCCCAGCTCCCAGCTGGAGTTGCACGTTTGTATCCCTGTGCTGAGCTGCTTTGTATCAATGAGATTGATACAAACCAATTTTGTGAATGGGTTCGGCACGCTACAGTCTGTGCCTGCGGTGTTTACTAAACATCAGCTATGTCTTAATGGGGAGTGCGCTCACCTCAAACGTCGATATAAGTTCACGTTTTGCTCCAGACATTTGAGCTCAAAATCTAAACTGTCGATTCTCCTTTCAGTGTTAAGGGGGTGCTACGCTGTCTTGTTGGTTGAGATAGTTAAACTGAAGTCCTCACAAGTGGGCATAATTGATCCCAAAGCATTGTTAGGAGAATATCATTTCCCCCCAGTTAGTATTCATCTCATGTTCGTAAAAGAAAAAGACACTGTGCTGATCTACCGAGTTGTTTTCGTGTTCTTTTTTTTCTCTCTGAACAGGTGTAATCTGGTCATTTGTCGCATTGCTGGTTGTGGGATCTTGCTGTTTCCAAATTTGCTGCCACGCTCCCATCAATCCATCAGTGGTTGTACTTCTTCATTTGCAAAACGCTTTGGAAGTCATGAACGGTGCTATATAAATGCAAGTCTTTGGTTATTGATTTTGATCTTTATAGAGCCATACAGTACAGATACAGATGTTTTGGCCCAATGTTCCATGCTGATTAGGTATTCTAAGCTGATCTAGTGTCATTTGCCAGCATTTAGCCCATATCCCTCTAAACCCTGCCTATTCATATACCCATCCAGATCCCTTTTAAATGTTGTAATTGTACCAGCATCCATCATCCACTGTGCCAGCTGATTCCATACATGCACCACCCTCTGTGTGAAAATTTTTAAATCTTTCCCCTTTCAGCTTAAACCTATGCCATCTAGTTTTGGACTCCCGCCCCGCCCCACCCAAGCCTTCGGGAAAAGACCTTGTCTACTGTCTGTTTACCATATCTACGCCCGTCATGATTTTAGAAACTCAGAACGTCACCCCTTAGCCTCTGACACTTCGGGGAAAACAGCCTCAGCCTATTCAGCATTTCCCTGTAGCCCAAATCGTCCAAGCCCTGCAACATCCTTGTAAATCTTTTCTGAACCCTTTCAAGGTTCATAACCTCTTTGCTACAGCAAGGAGACCAGAATTGAACACAGTATTCTAAAAGTGGCCTGACCAATAGCTTATACAATTGCAACATGACATCCCAACTCCTATACTCAACACTCTGACCAGTAAAGGCAAGTGCACCAAATGCCTTCTTCACCACTTTGTCTACCTTGAACTCCAGTTTCAAGGAACTATGAACCTGCACTTCTAAACCTGAAACTTTATTTGTGGATAAATCTGCCACGTTCATTTTAAAAATGGCAAATGTTAATTTCCAAGAAAGAGTTATGCATTAAAATAAAGCAAAGAACTGCGGATGCTGGAAATCTGAAACAAAAATGGAAATCTTTTGAGAAACTCAGCAGATCTGGCAGCATCTGGGGAGAGAAAACAGAGTTAATGTTTCAGGTCCAATGACTGTTTTTCAGAAACTTAATTTCCATGAGTTTCCTCAGAGAGAATGGGACTGAGTCAACATTGTACTCTGAGGTAATCTTCTTCACTGTCCACTACACCTGCAGTTTTGGTGCCATTCGCAAACTTACTGACCATACCTCCTACGTTCACATCCAAATCATTTATATTTAGAAGGTGTGTTGTTTTTACATAGATTTATTTGAGGGATGTGAGACTGTGGTTAGGTGTACCTCTTGATTATTTGAATATTTGATCAACTGGCACATTCCTGGGACCATGGGTGCTGGATAATAAAAACATTTGCTGTGTTTGAAGGCTTTACTTTCCAAGTAGAGACTATTTGGGGAGGATTGTCAACTGATTGTGTGTAGCAGAGAATAGAGAAACTGCGATTGTTCTCGTTAAACCAGAGAAGGTTAAGTGACGATTTAATAGAGGTGTTTAATAATTATGAAGGTTTCCCATAGAGGGTTAGGAAGCAGATGAGGCAAATTTAAGAAAATTGACAAAGAATGTGGGGAAGATATACTTTTACAAAGCAAGTCCTTCTGAGCTGGAAGGCGCTACTCAAAAGGACAACAGATTTTGTAAGTTTCCAGAGGGAATTGAATGTTTTGTTGGAAAAGATAACATTGGAGAGTTGTGAGAAAAATGTGAAAGAGTGGGACTGATTGGAAAGCTCGTTTTAAGAGCTAGCAAAAGGCACAATGGGCTGAATAGCATCCATCTGTGCTTATGATTCTGGCCAGTGGGGGAGTCAGGCCTCTTCTGGAGTACTGGGTCCAGTTCTGGTTGCCCTGTTCTAGGAAGGATACTAAGCTGGAGAAGGTTCAGAAAAGATGTACCAGGATTTTGCCGGGGATGGAGGGTTTGAGTTTTAAGGAGAGGCTAGATAGACTGGGACTTATTTCACTGGAGTGTATAAGGTTGATTGGTGACCTTATAGAGGTTTATCAAATCATGAGGGGCATAAATAAGGTGAATGGCAGGTGTCTTTTCCCTAGGCTGGGGTAATTTCAAGACTAGCGGGCATATTTGTAGTGAGAGGAGAAAGATTTAAGGCATGAGGGCAACCTTTTGACACAGTAGTTCATGTGTGGAGTGAACTACTGGAGGAAGTGGTGGATATGGGCATAGTTACAATGTTTAAAAGACATTTGGACAAGTACATGAATATGAAATGTTTTGGAGGGATATGGGCCATGTCCAGGCAGGTGGGACTAGTTTAGTTTGGGATTAAGGTCGGCATGGACTGGTTGGACCTAAGGGTCTGTTTCCATGCTGTATGACTCTAATTGTTCTCAACCTGCCTGCACCTGTCCTGATCATTGTGTTTTCATTGTCCTTCTAGACTGTCTTCTAAAATGCCTGAAGGACCCGAAATCCACCTGGCCGCCAGGTTTGTTAACCAGGCCTGCAGCGGCACTGTATTCTCGGGGCAAGTGGAAAAGTCTGTGGTGAGCAAAAACTGTGACGTGCCTTTCGAGTGTGACGCCTACCTCATCTCCGCGGTGTCGAGAGGGAAAGAGGTCAAACTGACCCTTGCCCCCATCAAAGAGGAGGATGGCAAGGAAGGGATCACGCCCAATGGGGTGGAACGCGAGGATGGGCTACCAGCGCCGATGGATGTCGTCTTCCGCTTTGGCATGTCTGGCTCCTTCAAACTGACGACTGAGGAGGACATCCCGAAACACGCCCACCTCAAGTTCTTCACCAAACAGGAACCCAGGCAGGTGTTGTGCTTTGTTGACCCCAGAAGGTTTGGGAGTTGGGAAGTCAACGGGATCTGGCAGCCGGATAGAGGACCGTGCGTGATGCTCGAATATGAGAGGTTCAGGTATGAAAAAAAAAAATGCCCTCCCCTCCTTTTTTGTTTCTCTCGTCTATTTTTTGTAGTTTCTCCACGAGGGCTGGTAGATGAGAGGCTGGTCTTCGTCTCCTTTGGTTTATCCCATTGCCCAAGCAAACGGACATAATAACGTAAACTGGAGGGACATTCTGGCACCGAATGCATCTGAGGCCGAGGTAGAATGGACTTTTTGTCTCTCAAGGGATTTGGGAATGAAAAAGGAGTCAAAGCCCAAGATCAGCTAAGATTGTATCCGAGAAATGAGAAGGCTTGATGGACCAAATGGCCTACTCCCACTCCTGTTTTTTACGTTCTTAACCGCCTGTCTCAGTTGAGATCAGTCTGCTTTGAGGGTGAATGCTTCACTCTATTGATTTGGACAGCAACCCTGCCGTGTAGGCAGTATTTGACCAAAGTTAAGTGATTGGATTAGTATGAGTACAGCACAAATGAGACCATTCAGCCCATTGTCTGTGCTGGTTCTCTGTAACTCCGCTAGTACCATTTTCCGGCCTTTTCCCCATAGCTCTGCAAATCTTTTCAGATTGCTGCCCAGTTTCCTTTTGAAAACTGTGTTTGAACCATCCCCCACTGCGTTGTGAGGCAGTATGTTCCAGACCCTACCCACGCACTGCATTATAAAAAGTTTCCACTCACGTCACCTTTGATTCTTCTGTCAGTTGCCTTCATTTCAGTTTCTTCTGATTCTTGACCCTTCTGCTAATTGTTTCTCCCTACCTCCACTGCCCAGACCCCTCATGATTATGGGAACCTCTATTAAATCTTCTCTTAATCTTCTGTCAATCTAACCACCTCGCTGAATTCTCTCAATCCTGGAACTCAATAGAGAAGGAGCCAATGCACAACATTAGCCTGAGACTCTCTCTAAGAAACAAGAGACCCATATGTTGCAGACAGGCTGTACACAGCTTAGGCAGAGGTAGAAACTCAGGAATCCTGTGAAGGGGCCATGGGTCTTGGCCAGAGACTTGCAAGCCAGCAAGACCCCTGTCTCTTCGTAGAGACTGATTGAACTTCCTTTCATTAGGAGCTGAATACTCATATTTAACCCAGCTTTAAGTCAGCAGTTTGCTGCCAAACAGACACCCAACATGATAAATTATAATAGGTCAAGTATATTCTTCATGATATTCTTGTTTCATATTGCCTGACCATCATAGAAGTCACAGCACAGCCCATCAGATATGTGTGCCGCTTAAAAATAACTTAGTTCGGTCCATTTTCCAGCACTTGGCCCATTGCCTTGTATACCTTGGCATTGCAAGTGCACATATAAATGCTATTTCATATACC